AATTCCCCAGCCAGCATGCTGGCTGGGGAATTCTGGGAGTTGAAGTCCACCTATTTTAAAGTTGCCAAGTTCGAAAGACACTGGTTTAGACATAACCCACATAGAGAGGGAGAGAAAAGAGGGGACCTAGAGCAGGCATCAGTTATTAAATAGTTCTTAAAGTAACTTATTTAGTGCGAGCCCTTAGTAAACTCTCTTCTTGGGTCTTACGTATCCTCTCCCGTCTGCTTACTGCCCAACGCTTCCTCTTGCATTCTTTCTCTTCCTTACCAACCCGGGGGCGCCCTCCCTCTGTATCCCTTTCCTTTAACTTCCAAGAGTCAAGGCTGAAGCTGAAGGCATTTTCATCTCTCCAAAAAGTCTTTAACAAGAGAGAAAAGGACAGGATTTCTGCTGAACTTGCCCCCAACCGGGACTGACACCCAGTTGTCCATTCCTGAGAGCGTCACCATAGTGAGATCATCTCTCGGGGGATGCACGTCCTCGGTGAAGAGGGCCAGAGCAACTGAGGAACCACGTGGCCTCTCCTTTCTTCTCTCTATTGTCAACAGATCTCAGATGTCCAAGGCTGACTGCCCAGCTCCACAGAGCTGTTAAATACCTGCTGAGACGCTGTTTGGGCTGAATAAGGAGTCATACCAGCAGAACCAGTTCAGGACAGGGCAACAAGACTGCAAAGGCTTGTGATTTCTCCAGCACCCAAACCTTCTGGAGAACTTCTCCACATCTTTCCTCAACTGTCCAGTTATTACATCAGTGGCAGAACAAAACTACAGTATTCACAAAGCGATCATTCAAATCCACCGCACGTAATTTAGCGCTTTCTAAAAAAGAGCATGTAAAGTAATGAGAGAGGAGCAGGTATGTATGGTGTGTAAAGCAATGAGACAATTTGCAGGAATACTTTAATCCTTATCATGCAGGAGATGCTGGACAAATTCATCAGCCCAGCAAGGGAAAGTTTGGAGGTGGGGCACTCTGAACTCATCTTGGGCACCTCTGTAAAAAAGGCAGAATAAAAGGACGTGGATCAAAGGTTTACCACTCCAGTTTTACAGGGGCAGGTTTGTCAACTGCAATGTGTGGACTTCAACTCCCAGAATTCCCCAGCCAGCATGCCAAGGCCAGAACAAGCCTTTAAAGTGCTTGTTTAATGCCTTTAAAACAGCGCATGTATTTGAGCAAATGTGCATATACATACACATATATAGAGGATGGTAGAGGATAAGAGGATGGTACGTTTGCATGCGTGTATATGTGTGTGCACACACACACATATATACACACGCAAACGTACCATCCTCGTCTAAAGAGCCGTTCATGAATATAGAAATTGGCCAGACAAAGTTACAGAACTTGCAGTCTAAAAGTTGAACCAGAGGACACTGGAAGGTGCTTTCGCGTCCAAGAGGCCAATTTAGTCACCAAGGGTCTTATTACTTGCTCTGATAGTCAGAAATGGATTACTTTCAGCTTTCAGCTTTTAGCTTTTGTATTTATATATTGGTTGTTGTGGTTATGACGATCATGCGTTTATGTTGCATGCCGCCCAGAGTCACCCTGTCTGAGCTGGGAGGCCTTATGAATCTTGAAATAAATAAATAAATAGGCTGCGTGCCATCAAGTCCATGTCGACTCTTGCTTTTCCTCTGTACCTACTACCTGATGTACCTAATCAAACAGCCTCAGGAACCTCCCTTAGGAGCCACCACCTGGGAAACAGATGCCACAGCACTGAGCTAAGTCATCCTCAACACTTTTTCTAAACAAATGAGGACATTTGGGGGGACTGTGTAGAATCCCCTTCCCTCCAAGCTGAAAGGATCAGCTTGCTCTCGTTCCAAGCCCAGGATGCCCGCCTGGCCTAAACCCTGCATCCTTGGAGATGATGCTCCCTGGTCATCTGCCCGTTACTATAGCTACGAGAAGAATCGCAGGGTGGCAGCTCCAGGAATCCTATTGGCTCTGGAGGGAAGGAAGGATTAATTGCTTAGCAACGGTTCACTTGACAACTCTGTGACAGGGAAGGCAGAAACCCACCCGGGGAAGGCAGGGGGCACCTGTTGGGGGAAGAGCACGTGAGCCCTGGGTTTCGACATCCCTCTAACACAGCGCCTAATCTGCACTTCTTTTTCCACGTTTCCAAGCCAGAGGCTTTTAAACAAAACAGCCCAAACGCCACAGCCATCTCATGGCGATTCCTCCTTCCCAACTTTCAGATAGTCTATCTCTGGTCCTGGAAGTTCCATTTCTGACCCAAGGTTATGGAAATACCATACCTCTCCCCAGGGAAGTGTCTGTACACTTGGGGTGGAGGAATGTGCTTTTATTGCAAAAACTGTTTTCCCCCTAAAAGTGGCCTTAAAACCTTATTTGTACTGGTATGTGATGTACTTAAGAGATGGTATCTCGGTGGCTAAAAGATCCTGTTGAGAAAACTGGAGAAAAGAGATGGGAAGAGCTTAAAACTCTTCTGGGATCCACCCTCCATTTACATCTCTTCTTTCTCCATGCTGAATTCTTGACGTGTTTCAATTCTGTGTGTTTGGCCCCAAAAAGGTGCCCCCAGCATCACTGTATGACGCAAGACCACACACAAGGAGTTTGCACCCAGTCCCCTTGAGATACCAGGGAATGCTCCGAAAAGTATGAATAATCACGGGGTTGCAGGTGGATTTCAGTTCTGACTACCGTGTTCACTCTGGAGACAAGAGAGAGAAGTTTCATTCCGGTCTCGTGGCTATGGGGCGTCAGAGAACGAAAGAACATAAGCCGTGTCCTGCTGGATCAGACCCCTGGCCCATCTAGTCCAGCAGTCTGTTCTCGCAGGGGCCCACCAACTGCTCCAGGAAGTCCATGACCCTCCCAGCAGAGGGCCTTCAGAGGCAGGCCCACTGATCCACAGGACCTCCATGAATGGGTCCAACCCTTCTTGAAGCCAGCCAAGCTGGTAGCCAGCGCTGCATCTCGTGGTAGCAAATTCCAATGTTGAATAATGTGTTGTGTAAAAATATATTTCCTTTTGCCTGTTCAGGATTCATTTGCACTGGGCGACCTCCAGTTCTAACATTTTGGGATGGGGAAAATAGCTTCTCCTTAGCCACTTGATCCATCCCACGCATCATTTTGTACACCTCCATCGTGTCCGCTCTCATTTGCTTCCTTCCTAGACTAAAAGGCCCCAAAAGTTGCAACCTTTCCTCCTAGGGAAGCCGCCCAGCCCCCGGATCATTGTCCAGGCAAGCAATTCAGCTCCTCTAGGTCTCATTCTGAAGCCTCATTTGAAACCTTCAGTTACCCCCTTGTCCACCCCGGTATTCTCCAAGTGCAGTAAGATCGCAAGGCCCATCAGCCAGCAGTTTGGATGCTGGTCTCTCTCACCTGCAAAGATGGCAGGAGTAAAAATGCAGGGAGACTCAGCAGCCGTGTGGGAGTGTGACGAAGAAACAATCTCAAACGCCACTTGCCTCTCCCTTGCCCTCATTCATTTTTGCCTTGCTTGTTGCTCATCTCTTCCTTTCCCCATCACTCACCTTCCCCTTACTCCATCACTCATCTCTCCCTTGCCCTCACTCATCTCTCCTTTGCCCTCACTCTTCACTCCTTTGCCTTTGCTCATCCCTTCTTCGTCCTTGCTCGTCCCTCCTTTGCCCTCGCTCTTTGCTCCTTTCCCTCGCTCATCCCTCCTTTGCCCTCGCTCATCACTCTTTTGCCTTCACCGATCACTCCTTTGCCCTCACTCTTTGCTCCTTTCCCTCGCTCATCACTCCTTTGCCCTTGCTCATCCCTCCTTTGCCCTCACTCATCCCTCCTTTGCCCTCACCAATCACTCCTTTGCCCTCGCTCTTTGCTCCTTTCCCTCACTCATCACTCCTTTGCCCTTGCTCATCCCTCCTTTGCCCTCACTCATCCCTCCTTTGCCCTCGCTCGTTGCTCCCCTGCCAAAGGACACACTTGGCTTTCAGCCCCAGGACAAGATCCAAGCATTTCAGTTCATGTAACGATGCAGGATATCTCCAAAGACATCCGGCACTTGGGGCTGCCTGCTCCTTTGACACTCTCTGGTGAGACCGTCACAACCAGAATGTAGGACTCATTCAGTTTGGGGGCTTAGGAAACACCTAAGAGCATGAGGCACCCCGAAACAGGACAGAGCCTCCACCACAGCTAAGCGGTCTGGGGGCACTTCTGTAAGTTATGAATGAATAAAATGAAGACTGGCCCCCAATCAGGCATCACTAAGGAAGTGGGGCTACTTTAGGGAGGTTTTCAGAGACTACGAACGGGACTAATTAACAATGGTTCTCTTGATTTAGTTTATGGGTATGTTTGGATGTTACACGTTTGGATATATTTATTGGGAAAGATACAAAAAACCCCGCAACACTGGTTTTTCAGTATACAAATTGGCCCCAAGTATGCTGCTAAAAGGTTTCCAGCAAAGCAACTGACGAGTCCCACGTGGCCCCATTTTTCCAGCCCACCAAATATCCCTGCTCCAGAATTGTGTTACTATTGTGGCAAAAATGGTCATTTTCAGCAATATTTTTTTTTGGGGGGGGGGGGGTTAAAACATTTTAGGTACATTCATGCTTTTAGGATCTATTTTGTATAAGTTCCCCCTGCAACCATTTTTTAAACGTTGGTCTCCTCACCCTCTAAGCAATATCCCTGTGGCCCTCGATGGCCAGGAAAAAAATAGAAATACAGCCCCTGGGAAGAAACCAGGGTTGGTCACCACTATGTTATTCAATCGAACACATCCTACAATCGAGGTGTAAAGTTTCCACCAGACTGAAAGAGCTACAAGATGAACAAGGATTTTCAAAAGGGGGTTGTTGAAAAGTAGAGTATTTGTGGAGTCCTTGATGGTCTCTGAGCTTGGTTGTTTGCTTGCAGACATTTCATTACCCAATTAGGTAACTAGTCAGGTCAGTGCTAGTTAGTGTGGGCTTTGCTCCCTGTTTATATACAGTACAGGGAGCAAACCACACACTCACTAGCACTGATGATGTAACCTAGTTAGGTAATGAAACGTCTGCAAGCCGACAACCAAGCTCAGAGAGCACCAAGGACTCCACAGGTCAACTCTGAGCTACAGATAGTCTCTTCTATTGGAGTAGAGTATTTATTTGGGGTGGGGGAAACACACAGCAGGAGTCAAAAAATGCAGACTCACCAGTTTTGGTCCAAAATCATGGCTGAGAATGAGTTGGGAAGCATCTCAGCTAAGGGAAATGATACTAAGGCTTACAAACAAATCAAATCAAATCACAGCCAAAAATGTTTCTGCCATTGGTAGACCTGTCTACCACCCTTCAGGTGATACAGCACACGCTGGTGGGTGAGAATGACTCAGCCTGTAGCTTTCTGTGACGCCACCACCAAACTTTTTCCTGTGATATGAAGACCCATCATCTTAAAAACCAGCATTGCCCAAGTTATCTAAACTACCTTGCAGCTAGAAAAGGCGAGTGTCTGCTGCCCACACACTGTCACAGATGGTTTGTGGAGAAGCACTGAAGGCACCGGGTCCTTTCCTTAAAATGTCGGGGGTCCTTTTCTCATGCATCTTTCTTTAATTCCGTACTCCAGAAATCTGTAACAAACCAATGGGACAGAAAGTGACATCGATGTGACATTCAAAGCAGACAGAAAGGAAACTCAAGGGGACAAGCAAGAAATATCCAACTAGACAAATGACCTTGAAATAAAGCTTATTTTGGAACTCAGAAAGTAGACTCAGGGTGTAATGGTATGTAGGAATGACTTTGGGAGACCGGAGGAAGAGCTGCTGAGTAGACAACGGTCAGGTAAGCAGCAGCTGAGTGTCAAACATCACTCAATGGCAAATTGTAAAGGCGAGGGGGGAAGAGATGTCCTTTCAGACTTGCAAGATTTTGGGGATGAAACTTCAAGGATGTAGATAAAGATGAGACATTGGGAAGAACTTGACCATGAGTGCTGTCAATGTGCAGAATGGGTTACTGCATGGAGTGGTTTCTTCCTCTTCGCTGGTGGTTTTCAAACAGAGACCGGAGAGTCATCTAGCGGGGATCGTGTAGTTAATCCTGCAGCGTGCAGGAGGTTGGACGTGGTGACCTCTTAAATCCCTTCCAACTCTATGATTCTATGAAATAAATACAAACTAGGGGTGACCACAAAAAGGAGAAAAACTAAGGTATTTAATAAAAAAAAAGAGGCAGAAAGACAAGTTCTTAAGAACTTTGAACTGTTTATGAGATGAGATGGAAGTGGACCGTCTGGAGTAGAATCCTGGCTGCATGTTGATGTCAAATCTACTCCCCTTGAGTTCAGTTGGTTCAATGGGATATCAGCCTTCAGTCCTTTGCCCAACTGAGGGTTTCAAAATTCACTAGCCAACTTGCCTGAAAGTGAGTACAATGGCTATGGCTACATTCTGTGCTAAGCTATGGATTTTTATCATGGTTTGTCAAAATAGCCACATCTGTATTGGCTTGTGCAATGGGCTACACCATACATTATATTATAAACCCAAATAGCTGAGTCTTCATGATATGCTAAGCCAGTGTCTCCCAACCTTTGCAACTTTAAGATGTATGGACGTCAACTCCCAAAATTCCCCAGCCAGCATGAAAGATTAGATTTCTAGTAAGAAGCATTGGGGAATTCTGGGAGTTGGTCCACACATCTTAAAGTTGCAAAGGTTGGGAGACATTGCACTAAACCAACCAACAAGTAAACCCTCTTATGGTTTTAAGTTTGAACATAGCCATAGAGAGATTTGCATTAAACAGCACTCCTAAACAAGTTACTATCAAAGTGTGATGAAGACTTGAAGCCCAAACATTTCCTAATCAAACATGGCTCTTCTATGAAGTCTCCCAGCCTCAACCAGAGGCCTGAGAGCACACTAAGATTGGCCAACCTGATGGGACCGTTGTAAAGGTTATGTTCTGATTCTACAGATAGTCCTCGCTATCTAACCACAATAGGGACCGGAATTTAGATCACAAAGCGATTTGGTTGTTAAGCAAGTTGTCATGTGACCAGAGCTGATTTTACAACCTTTTTTATGACAGTCAAGTGAATCACCATGGTTGTTAAGCGAATCACCTCAGTCATTACGCGAATCCAGCTTCCCCAATGGATATTTTTTGCTGGAATTTGCTTAATGACATGATTCACTTAATGACCATGTGATTCGCTTAACAACCATGGTGATTCACTTAACGATCATCGTAAAAAAGGTCACAAATCATGATCACACCACTGTGGGGGGTGGTGTGACAGTTTGCAATGGTTATAAGTGCAAGTACAGGTCGTAAAGCACTTTTTCCAAGGCCATCGTAACTTCAAACAGTCATTAAGCAAGAACTACCTGTATACTGAACTTGTAAATTGCTAATCTTCCCTAGCTCTTCATGTGGAGACAAGCTGGGGTGTGAATGAAGAACCAGCCATCCAGCCCCTTTTCAGCTGCCATAATGGCAGGCAGCTTCCATGCTGCAAATCTCTCCATTTCGTTATGCTTTTCTCTTCTCATCAAGAGAAAAAGCTTCATCTAGAGCTTAACAAAGTGCAAAGTGACAAAAAGGGGAAGTTCTTCTCCAAGATGGTTTGGGTTGGGAAGCTAAGCAGGGTCAAGCCTCCTTCGGCTACAGGCTTAGACCAGGAATCCAAAAAATATCCCCGAAGGTGAGAGCCAACCACTTCTGCGCTGTGACAAGCCATGCAAGGTGGACCAGAAGTTGGGCATGACTCGAAGGAGACCTGCTTGTAATGTCACCGAGCGGGAAAGAAACTTCACCTATAGCTTAGCAGAGGGGGAAGCTATACCCAACAGTGAGGGAAAGGAATTCTCCGAAGTCATCCAGCATCCACCATCCACCACTAGCGTTGTGCCGGTCACGTACGAAGAGAGAGGGCTAGCCAGGTACAAGACACTGTGGGCTATCTCGGTCTTGTTCCCCAACCGCTGAAGGGGAATGTTCTGGTAGTAGTTGGATTCCATCCTAGATGCACCTGGAAAAGAAGAAGAGCCCAACCTTGGCCAAGGAGAAACAAGAGCATGGAAGGACAACAGCCGATACATCTAACAGGTAGTGCCCACAGGGTGTGGTCAAAACAGTCAAGATGGTGGCCACAACAGTGCAATTGAAGTACCACCTGTTTTTTATGCACATACATTAAAAACAGGTGGAAATTCAATTGTACTGTCGTGACCGCCATCTTGACTTTTTTGACCACACCTTGCAGGACACCCCTATATTGAACAAGTTCTTCTCTCCCAATGGACCCAGTTATAAAATCATGAGTGCTTTTAGTCCTGCCTTGGGGAAAAAAAGGGGAGATACTGAATAATCAGTTTAATTTGCATCTGAATAGGAACTTGCCCAGTTCACATATTCCAACTCTATACACTGAGAGTTGGCAAAAATGGGAGATATTAAATAATCAGTTTAATTTGCACTTTAATTTGAACTCCCCCAGTTCACACATCCCAACTCTTTGGGGTACCACACGACCCCAAAATACCTTCCAATGACTCTTTTCAATTCTGTGTTCTTCCGAATTCAATATTATTATTTTAATTATTTTAATTTGTAAACTTTTTAGTTATTTTGATTTGTAAACTTTTTAAAACTATAAGCAACCCTGGAAAGGTTGCACTGAAAACTGAAGCACAAATGTTCTAAACTGAAAAATAAAACCTCCAGGATTAATCTTGTTGCACACATTTCCTGTGTTCACCCCTTTTAGAAGCTGTTCTCTTGGAAGACTTACCTGTTATCTTAGAAGCTTTCTTAGAAGGTATCTTAGAAACTATCTTAGAAGCTTCCTTAGAAGCTTTCTTAGAAGGTATCAGAAGTTTTCTTAGAAGCTTCCTTAGAAGCTTTCTTAGAAGGTATCTTAGAAGCTTTCTTAGAAGCTTTCTTAGAAGCTACCTTAGAAGTTGCTCCCAGCTTAGAAGACTTACCTAAGCGACGGTATCCTTCTGTGCCCGAGATGGGACCGGGGGCTAGGCTAATCACTCTAATTCGTTGAGGTCCCCATTCTACAGCGAGATGCTTTGTCATGGCATCTGTGATGAGACAGATGGGTTTAAGAATAAATATTCAGAAGAGGCTCAGAGAAGCCCAAAATTAGGACTATGGAGGATTTCATGATTCCAAGAAATCTATTTCAGACAATAGGGTTAAAACTCCTTTTTTTGGAGGAGGAAGAGAATATGGCTCATGAAATCAAAATCTGATACACAATCTGGGTCCCATCAAGAATAGGAAAGTAACATTCTTGGGCCTTGGGGTGCACCTCCAAAGGTGGACAAGGTCAGAACGGAGAATCAGTTTGAATTAATTAATAGTTCATACTTTGCATCTACTTTCTAATTTTCCAGTGTGGCAGCAGCTTTTCTGGAGAAGCCCTGGGGTTAGGTTTTTATCATGAATTCGCTCAAAGATCACTGGGCAGAAGAAACAAGCAACTAATTGTTGCTTCTTGCATGTATCTTTGCAAAAAGTCAAAGAAATGAAAAGTCCATGAAATGTACATCTATCATCCAAAAACGTAGTCAAAACTAAACGGATGTCTTGTCTGATCTCAAAAAACGCAGCTGGATTGGTGTTAGTTGTCAAAGTTGGCATGGCTAGGGGACATTCTGCTAACAATACCCAAGGGCAGAGTGTCCCACCTCCTCAGAAGAAATTGGCACCCTCCTTGTTACACCAAAATTGCAGGAAGAAGAAATCTAATGACTCTGAATTGCCTATAAATAGGTTCTCCATTTGAAAGCAAAGTTACTTGCTAGAATTCTTATATTATCACTGCAACCTTATTCCTAATAAATTCTATTAACCTGACTTCAGAGAAAAGTGTTCCTTGCTGTTCTTCTTGATTCTGATTGTTGTTAGGAAGAGCTGATAACAAGATCTAACACTAGTTGGTACAGGGATGGGAGACTATGAGGAAATCCCATGGCTGTTCAGGCAAACACACCCAAGAAGGAAATTGTAGGAGGCGTGTTTCTTAAACTTTTTTCTCTCAGGACCCCTTCCCACTTTTAAAAATTATGGATGACCTCAAAGGAGCTTTGGTTTGTAAGGGCTATATTTATTGATATTTACCATATTAAAAATTAAAATGGACGCATTCACTGCCGCTACTGCTTATCGTGATTTTAATATTGTATTATTTTCCAACATAGTCTGGCAAATAATTTTGATTTCACAGACTCTTAGAGGGTCTTGGGAGACCTCCAAGGATCCTAGGACCACACTAAGAAACACTGAACATTAGGAAAGCATGAAGCAATGTCCAACAGCAAGGGAAAGTTATGCTTGAAGGTTATCTGGGCTTGGAAGCTAAGCAAGATCAGACCTGGTTAGTTTTTGGATGAGAGACCCCACAAAAATGTAAGCTACACCAGGAAATGGAAAAAATATTGCAGAAGGTGACCAGAGCAAACCACTTCTGCATTGCTACCAAGAAACAACATGGACACATCAGAGTTGAGTTCAACTTGGAGAAGACCCTAACTTTTTAAAAGTATGCTTGTCAGATACTGCTACATGCATCAGAGGGCAACATACATGTCCCAGATGCAACCTTGCTGAGCCATGTGTGCCCTCTATGGGATAAAGGGGAGTGGGTGGGGTCAGATCTGCTGGAGGTAGTGGCCATAATACTCCTTTCTAGGCTGCTGAGGACCCATCACCCACAGCGAGGAGAGGAGTGAAGCTCTCAGTCTTGGACAGGGCTGCCAGTGAGAAGAAGAGAAACAGGGTGGTTCATTCTCGTACCTATGGCTGCCTTGGCTGTCCCAGCATGCACCTGGAGAGCCTGGCCTCTGTAGCTGAGGGTCGCCGTGATGTTGACAATGACGCCGCCATGTTCCTAAGTCAATAAAGTAAGCAACAAGGTTGATGTCAATGTCAAAAGAGTGTGTGGCCACCACATTTAAGAAATAAAGAATAAAATGGCATATGGCTATCTGAAGTATCACTTCCTCCCAGTGCAAACTGTCCAGCCAGGGATGTCCACAGGGGGGTCAAAAAAGTCAAGATGGGGGCCATGGCCTTGCAAACAAAGCCCCTCCCCCTTTTATGCACATTGCAATTGGTTCTGGCTCTCATCTGGCCTTTTTTGGCCTTCCTTGTGGATGTCCCTGTGCCGAATCATTAATACCTGCAGTGAAAATCTTTTCTTATCCAGCATTCAGAAGGCCCTGCCTGGGGCGTGCAAGCCCCTGGTGTTTAGAAAATCTGTTTCAAAATGCTGAGAACCCTTTTTCAAGGTTGAGAAAAAGCTCCATTTGCAGGTTTTCCTCTATTCATGAACGGAATCCTTCCTTTTAATTTGCTTTTTGAACTTTTGGGACTCTGTCTTCCATTTTTGTCTGCCACCCTGAGAACTCACCTGAGCCAAAGGTGAGGGATAAACTGAATCAGAGTTCAAGAACAGCAGCTGTGTAATTTATGGCCAGGTTTCCCCAACCTGGTGCCCACTAAACACACTGGGGCTGCCACTCCCAGAATTCCTACCCAGCCAAACCTGATCCTTAACCATGTGTGATGTAAATCCTGCTTAGCAGCCACAACAGAGCATCCTGAAAGGGCAATCTGAAAAATTTCTTATTTTTCCAGCTCCCAGGCTTCCGTTCTTAATGACCAGCCCACAACATCTAGAACAGGGTTCCCCAAAGTGGTCAATATCAACCTCCAAGCGTCGATGGGACTATCCAAGGGGTTGATAAAAGTCTGGGGGTCAAAAGGGAGTTAGTAAATGTCTGGGGGTCAATAGGTAGTCAATAAATGATGGAAAGTTGGTTGGGGTCAATTCATCCTTTGGGGTCTCTGTGGAGCTCCACACCAGCCCCTAGTTCTGAAGGCAAGGTGGCTAGCGGCGAGACAGTGTTACCCAGGGTTGGATGGTCAGCTGTCAGCGAGAGTGGCCTTGAGTAGTCTTTATCAGCTGTGTGTTGTTACTGGCCTCGTTTATCTATTGTCATTTGTCTTGGTATGTAGGAAAGACCTTGGGAGACAGGGCAAAGACATGCTGCCTAGGAACCATCAGATAAGGGACAGCACAGCCCACAGCTGCAAAATGGATAGAGCAAGAGGCTCAGAAGAGACCCTCCCCAAGTTCTCAAGCTATAAAGGTGACAGGGGGAGAACTGTACTTTCAGACTTGCAAGATTCTATTAATGTAGCTTTACAATAAAGTAGAATTAGTTTATCTGGTCATGTTTCCTGTCTGGTCTACCTGGCAAGGCTACCATTATTGGTGTAGTTGTTATTCGTAGCACTATTAAAGCACTATTTATTAAATGATTTTCACATAATCAGTGTTGGGGGTTGATGAGCAATCTTAAACTTCACGAAGGGGTCGATGAGCTGAAGAGTTTGGGAACCCCGGCCTCAAAAGAAAACAGAATCAAGTCCAGCAGCCTGCTCATGAAGGCAGAGAACTGGGAATCTAGGAGGAGGACAACAGGACCACAACCCCCTCAAACCCTGCAGTTAAGAGGTGCCAAGAGACTCTTACCCGAAGGCACTTTTCATACAGGACTTTGGAGACGTTGAAGGTACCCAAGGTATCGATTTCAATCACGGTTTTGTAAGCGTTGAATGACAAAGAGCTAGCAGGGCAAAGGAAGTTTCCAGCAGCATCTGGAGAGTCAGCCATGGAAAAGGAACAAGACCGACATCATGACTGGCTGGATTGCAGTCTTAGACCCGAATTTGTATCTCCTCAATACATGGAAAATACCACCACAACAGCTATTGCGCATGATGATACCCCGATAAGCACATACATGAATCCAATGGGTTGGATCCTTGAGGGTAGGGAGCCATGTTTGAAACTAGGTTAGACGCAACATTTGTTTATTGGCCAGGGAGTTTTACTATCAATAGGGGATTGAACCAAATATTAGAACATTCGCATTGTTAGAACATGAGCTCTAGGCAGTGTTTCTCAGCCTCGACAATGTTAAGATGTGTGGACTTCAACTCCCAGAATTCCCCACATCTTAAAGCTGGATGGGGAATTCTGGGAGCTGAAGTCCACACATCTTAACGTGGCCAAGGTTGAGAAACACTGCTCTAAAGAACTCAAGAGATGTTGGATTGAGGTGGGTATCAAACCTAATCAATCAATAAAACAAAATCCAACTTCCTTGATTCACAGGGGCAAAGCTTCTGTGAGGTTGGAAGGCTGTTAAATGGACCTTCTGAAGGTGAAGGTATTAAAGGTCAAAGATGGGGATGCTGAGGATCTGTATGAAGCAGCACACTTGACCGTTTATGGGTTCATCTACAACAACCCTACCAGCACCCAACAAGATCACCCTTCTGAGAGCACCATCATTCATTTTTGGCCTGAAGCTTGAAGACGGGAGAACTGGCAACCCCCAAGAGGATCAAACCCTCACTGTTAACTAGGATGTCGATCTTCTCAAATTCTCGGAGGGCCTCATCCACGGCTGCTCTAATGCTTTGAGGTTGCCGCACATCAAGGGTCAGGGGCAGGCATCTCTGGCCAGTGGCTGCAGAGAGTTTCTTGGCAGCCTGTTGTAGGAAATAAAGATTTGGAGGGGTCAGATAGCTGCCTGGCAGGAGAAACCAGGTGAAACCAGTACCATGTCCCAAAATAGCAAATTGGCCCCTTAACATCTGCAGTGCTGTGGATGGGAAGAAGCATTTCCTGTTTTCAGTGACATTTCAAAATGCTTCATTGGCTGAGTTAGCATACCATGCTTAGCCAGGTTTCATTTATCCAAGTTTGATTGTATAAATCCAGCATTGGGTAGGTAACTCCAGTCAATTAAGCCATGAACCTGGGCATACAGTCTGTATCGGGTCGATGCATCACACAAAGCCAAAAATAAACAGGTCATATCTACAGTCATATGGAAAAGTAAGTACGGGTTGTCTTCGTTTAGTGACCACAATTGGGACCAGCAACCCGGTCACTAAGCAAGGCAGTCACTACCTGAAACCGTGACTGTGCTTATGATCTTAATTCAGCTTTCTTTCGCTTTACAGACCTGCAAAGGTTGTAAATGCAAGGATCAGTCGTAATCACCGTCACAACTGCGAACAGTCACTAAATGAGGCAGTCTCTAAGTGAGGTCTACCTTTACACCTCACTGAAATTTTTAACTTTTTCAACATATTTCAGTTAACATGGTTCTCCTCCTAAAATGTCTCTCTATTCCAGAATCCTTCACTATTGGCCATGCCAGAAGATCAGCAACACTGAGAAGACCATAGATTTTCCATGTGTATCACGGGAACCAGAAACTTGAATCCCCCCATAAACCCTTATTTAAGAAAATTAAAGCTATACTTGCACTGATCAGCTCTATCTCCCAACTCCCAACCTTGTATTTCTTTATTTTTAGTTACTTACAAAAAGGATCTACCACTTTATTCTAAAAAAGATTCTTCAGTGGTGTACAGACATGCAACAATCACAGTTCAATGCAATATAAATAAATAATAAACATTACAGTTATTAAGCATGAACATTAGCCTAACCACAACCTAATCTAAGTCAGTGTTTCTCAAACTCGGCAACTTTAAGATGTGTAGACTTCAACTCCCAGAATTCCCCAGCCAGCATGGCTAGCTGGGGAATTCTGGGAGTTGTAGTCTACACATCTTAAAGTTGTCAAGTTTGAGAAACACTGATCTAAGTCCAGGGCCAATGACTCAATCATAATCAGTCTCTAAAGACCTTCCAAAACAACCAAGTCTTCCTGCACCTTCAGAAGACCACGAAAATGGGAGCCCACCTCGCTTCATTGGGAAGCTGCTAATACCCCAAAAGGGATAGTAAAACTATCAGGATCTCCCAGCCACTCACCTCTGTCAGCCGTTGGAGGTTTCTGCTGGCAATGACACACTGGCAACCATGCCTGCGGGAAAATTTTCCAAGATCAGAAGCGCAGAAATCTGGCTGGATCTGCAACCCCTGTGCCTCTGCAACCCCGCCCCCCACATTTGCTAACTAAGCTGCAGAAAAGACGGACTGCTGAAGCACACACCCAATTCTAAAGGGGGAGGGTGATTTTGTAGACTCAAAAGCTTGCTTTTAGTCCAGCTGAAAATGTGGGGAATGGACATGACATACAATTGGGCAGCGTTCTGGAAAGAATGCGGACAAGATGCTTTTGACCACGGGAGCAGGAACCCAATACCAGTTTTTCAAGCTGCAGAGGCTGGGCAAGCCGGTGCTAAGTTTACATCCCCGGGCAAAATTACAACCTGGGCGGGATTTGAACATCGAGCTCCATCATTTTCCAAATTAGCTCCAGAGCAGTGCCCAGCCACAGTATGAAGCATCTGTTTTGGATCTTAAAGGGAAAGTGAGACACATCTGTTTCTGTTTCGTGCCTTTGAGTTAGTGTTGACACATGGTGGCTGCCTGGACAAGTCCCTGCAGTTTTCTTGGCAAGATTTTTGGAAGTGGTTTGCCATTGCCTGCTTCCTAAGGCTGAGAGAGGGTGGCTGGCCCCAAGATACCCAGCTGGCTTTGTGCCTAAGGCAGGACTAGAGTTTCCAGTCTCTCAGTTTCTAGCCTGGTGTCTTAACTTCTACCCCAATTTGCTGCTGTTGTCGTTGCTATTATTATGATTATTATTCCTCCTTGCAGTTTTCTTGGCAAGATTTCAGAAGTGGTTGGCCCTTGCCTTTGTTTTCCTAGAGCTGAGACAGAGTAACTGGCCCAAAGTCACCCAGCTGGCTTTGTTCCTAAGGCAAGACTAGAACTCAGGGTCTCCAGCTTCTAGCCTGATGCTTTCAACCACTACACCAAACTGGGTCTCTATACCAGAATAGTGAAGTGGTATCTCCACATTTTGTCCTGAGTCAAATTTTGCCCAGGGTTCACAGAAGGAACGTGGAAAGAGCAACATTGATCACATTGATTTGCCTTGCTGACACCACCCAAAAGTAATAAAACACAGTTTACAATCTGTAATGGCTAGGCTTACACATCATGCTAAGCCACAACACGGCTTGTTTCTTGTAGCTTAGAAAGTTGTCTGAAGCTGACCATGGTTGAGGTTCAGAGAATAAGTGGAGGCAGCTGGTGAATTGTTTTACATGCCACATTTGTATGCAACAAGCCATGGCTTGAATAACACACTGGCTGAATTCATACAATGTATGCAGCTAAATAATGCGGATTATAACGATGCTCACTGTAAAGGAACAGCAAAAACTAGGCTTCTCATGGCAGCCTAGACTGGATCCAATTAAGCAGATCAACAAGGATCTAAGAATTTCTGAGAAGTAAAATTGACCGTAGAAAAGCTACGAACTGCTGTGTGTCAAATGCAAATCCTACTTATAGTAAGATTGGCAATCACGTTCCAGTGCTTTTCTCCCACTCAGGCTACCCAATGGGCTGGATGACCCTTCATTTCTATCTCCCATTTTGGTAACAGACAGATCTGCTAACAGGTTGTTCTCCTCCTCGCACAAACTGCATTTTCAGCGTCACAGTATCATCAGACGGAGAACCAAAATGAATGCAAAAGCAGACCAGGTGCTCACTTCTTTCTTTCTACTTAGGAGTCTGAATTTTTTTTTTTTTTTTTAAAAGGAAACGGAAAAAGCAAACCGTCTGGGAAAACCCTGGGACGGCAGTGGGAAATACTCTCTTCTCAATGGGGAAGGACACATTCGTTTGCCAGAAACAGGTGGCCTGCCACCTCACCATGAAAATGGAGAAGATAAAAATACTCAGAGCCTTTTTGCTAAGATCAAGTCAAGCGTGTTGTACTTAGACTGCAGAGTCCTGGCCAAAGGTCTTTGTCGGCCTTGTGGGGCAAACCAGAGAGGAAACACAACCAGATGAGCTATTTCTACTTTATTGTAAGGCTACATTAACAGAATTTTGCAAGTCCGAAAGTATAATTCTCCCTCCACCTCTTTTACAGCTAGAGAAACTAGGGAGGGTCCCTTCTGAGTCTTTCTCCACCCATTATGCAGCTGTGGGCTATGCTCCCTCTTATCTGACCATTCCCTTGGCAGCGTCTCTTCGCCCCATCTCCCAAGGTCTTTCCCACATCCCTGCGAAACGTTTGCCATCCATACCTCATCAGGATCTCAGCAATGCGGAATCCAATGCCAGAGCCGCCTCCCGTGATGAAAGCAACCTTACCCCTAGAAAACCAGAAGAAGGGGACATCTGGAAGCAGGAGCTACAGAGACGATTTGCTTATTTATTTATATATATATGCCACCCAACTCCCAACCACTCTGGGCGGTTCACAGGTGAAAAAGCATTAAACACAAGAAAAGAAATTCCAGAATTCAAAATAAAGGAGTAAAAAAATGGCAAGTTGAGTCCAATCCAGTTCTTTAGTCAGCAACCCGGACTAAATAACACTTTTTAAATAAAACTTACAAAGTAGTAAATGGAGGCGAATATCTGTAGCTCAGGGTTGAACTGTGGAGTCCTTGGGGTTCTCTGAGCCTGGTTCTTTTCTTGCAAACATTTCATTACCCGGCTAGGGTTAGCACTGAAGATGTTCCCTAGCTGGGTAATAAAACGTTTGCAAGAAAAGAACCAAGCTCAGAGAACCCCAAGGACTCCAAAGTAGTAAATGACAAAGATGGCAAAACCATACGGGAACAGTTCAGAAACAGCAGATTATTATTATTATATTAGATTTTTATCCCATCTTTTTTATATATAACTCAAGGCAGTAAACATACTTAATATTCCTGCCTTCTATTTTTCCCACCACAACAACCCTCTGAGGCGGGTTGGGGTGAGAGAGAGGGACTGGCCCAAAGTCACCCAGCCGGCTTTCATGCCGAAGGTGGGACTAGAACTCACCGTCTCCTGGTTTCCAGGCCAGCATCTTAACCACTACACCAAACTGGCTCTCATATTTAACTTGACAGGTGAGGAAATAGTAAACTGGGAACTAGCTGTACAAGGGTATATCTAGAAATGCAGGGCAATGCAATGCTGGCTTGCTTTTATTTCAGTCGCAGACCAGCATAAAACAAATACCATTACAACCATTCCAAAAATAGAAAGAGCAAAATATTGTATCAGTGAGATAACATAGAAGATTGCTAGCATAGAATTCCAAAATATAATACCAGGGGAAAATCTTTAAAATTGCAACCTGTAGTCTAAAGCAGTGTTTCTCAACCTTGGCAACTTTAAGACAGGTGGGCTTCAACTCCCAGAATTCCCACGTTGCCTGGGAAATTCTGGGAGTTGAACCCCACCTGTCTTAAAGTTGCCAAGGTTAAGATTTATAGGTAGTCCTTGTTTAGCCACCATTTGCAGTTATGACGGTGATGAAAAAGTAACTTTGTGACCAACCCTCACATTTATGACTTTCGCAGGTCTGTAAAGCAAAGGAAAGCTGAAGGAGGATCATAAGCACAGTTGCGCTTCACTTAACGACCAAATCACTGTCCCAATTGTGGTCGCTAAATGAGGACTACCTGTATATCTTGTCTTTTTTTCCAGGAGCTGAAGGCAGCTTGCATGGGGATCTCTCTATTGTTCTATCCCCACAATAACCCTGCGAGGTAGGTTGGGCTGACAGAATACCATGACTGATTATAACCTTAAATCTGGGTCTCCCCGGTCCTTAAGTACATTAGCTCTCTTGTAGCTTCCTTGTATTTTAAACAAACGGGGTGGGGGAGGCAAATCATTAGAGGAGGAAAAAGATTGGGGAGGATGTTCAAGAAACTTTCTGTCTTCCATCCAACCAGGTTTATGGGAGCCTTAAAGAGACCTAGCGCCTTGGGAATACTCACTTGAGGATGTCAGGGTTGAAGAGATATGAATATTCCTGAAGACAATCATCTGTGTCCACATCAGGAGGAGGTTCACAAGCAAAGCCCAAATGAGCCATGGATAGCTGGCTTATTCTAGAGAAAGCAAGGCAGAGCCACGATCAGTCCTGAGATGGGGAGAAAACCCCTGATACTGGGGACACCACCAGAAACAGCTGTAACACAAAGAAGTTAAAACTTCACAGCCCCCAAAAGTCCATACTTTCAATTTACCAGCCTTGCTTTCAAGGCAGAAAGATGGCAGATAAATTCTGTTCCAGAGATCTGCTACTACAATGGATGGTTTGTTTGGCTTGAAGGCAAAAAAAAAGGACGGGAAATCTATTTTGTGCCTGTGGTTACTTATCTGGACCTCTTCCGAAATGCAAACACAACCTCAGCCATGAGTACATAGGTTGCAATCCTCACCTTTCACCCGCCGGTGGCTTTCATGCCCCGACAGATGCTGCCTCTTTGAAAACTCGGCAGAAGGCCACCAACGTTGGGGGAAACGCGTGGGGCGGCTTCAGGAAGAGGAGGGGAAAAAGCTCCCCGAATTCCAGCTGTCTGCAAGACGGTGCTGGAGTAAGGCCTGTTTTTCCAGCTCGCAGCGGTAGGAACGTCGAAGCCGCAGAGAAGGGGAGGAAGGGAGAACGATCTCCCCAGGTATTGAGCTGAAGGCGAGAATGAGATGCAACGGGTTTTTCTTGCAAAACTGGCAGACCAGTCACTCTAGTTTCACCTCTGCACCAAAGCAGCTTTGCAAAGGAGAAGGAGCAGATCCAGAACAGGGGACGCTCTCTTTGTTCCTCTGCCTCTCAGGCAAGACATCTCCAGTCGCCTCTTGAAGGCAGTGTTTCTTAAAGTGGGGTTCGAGGAGCCCCGGAGGCCTCCCAAGACCCTGGCAGGGTTCCAGGAAATCAAAATGATTTGCCCGATATTGACGAGACGTGCAAAAATGTAAAACCATGTCGCTCCTCTCATTCTTACTTTTTATCCGTTCAAAAAATACAGGGTTTTTCCTGGAAAATATGTTGTTTATGTTCCTAGCTCATGGATTCACTACTGTTGCTTTGGCAAGACTCCATCAATAGTCTATGAATGCATCCATTTTAATTTTTGATATGGGAGATATTGATAAATATAACCCAGGCGAAGCACAGCTCTTTTTGGGTCCTCCATCGTGTTTAAAAGTGGGAAGGGGTCCTGAGTGCCAAAAGTTTAAGAAACACGGCTTGAAGGGATGAAGCAGCAGCTGTGTCTGAAAAGGAAATTCAACAGCTGGGATTCGGGGGGGGGATGGGGGGTTGGGGATTCCCTCGTTTTTGCACCCTCAAATTGATTTCCCTGGGGGAGAGCAGCCTTGCCCCTCCCTTGGCGAGGACTACATCATCCCCGTCCCTGCCCCGCGTGGCTAGCTGACAACCCAGGAGAGGATGGGAGTTGTAATCCCCCACCACCGGAGGGCGCCAGGTTGCAAAAGCTTGGCTGAGACCCATTCCCATTGCTGCACTCTCGCCCTCCCGAGGCGCCGGGGGCGACACCCCACATGCAGTGGGGAGACAGGGAAAGGGGGTTTCCTTCCATTGGGAATCCCGCGAGTTTGCTTCGGGCGGCAGCCTTCCGCCAAGCCAAATGTGCTGGGACTACAACTCCCTTTATCCACGCCCGGGGTTGCAACAGACGACAGGAGCTGCAGCCCCAGCACCTAGGGAGGTTGCAGGGGGGTGCAATAAGGGGTGCTTTGCCCCACTCCTCACCAACTCTTTCTCGGTATTCCCGCCCCTAAATAACTGCCCTTTCCAACTCACCTCTCGCGCAGCAGCTTCCGAACCAGCTGGACTTACTCTCCAGTGCGCCTGCGCGCCGGACTCAATCCAAAGCATGTCGGGAATGGTAGTTCCTGTTTAGAGAAAGAGGAGGCGTTCGGTTCAATGGGACATCCCGGGGTTGGTCTTTCTCCTGTTCGCAAAGCGATGCTTTGCCTAGAATCCTACCGGGCTCTTTCTCAGCCTAATGCAAAAAGGGATTATTTCCAGGAGCCTGGGAGTTTTCCTTATTGCACAAAAGGCTGCAGTTGGTTTGCTAGGCGCGTGGTTGCAAAATGAGAAAAACGTTGCTCTTCTCTTCACTTACCTGCCTGGCCATTCGGAGAGCGCCTTGGTGTGGACAGAGGCGCGCTCTGCTCCCGGCTCCCAACGCAGCGCGAGCTTCATTTATTCCCTTCTGCGGAGGAGAAGGAACAGGAGACGTAACCCAGATCCTCTTGCTATGCATTATTCAGTCGCCAGGAAATCCCACTTATTTAAGCCATGATCTGGATGATTACAAATCCTGCAGGAGGAGGAGGAGAGAAAGAGGATGGGGGGGGGGGGGGGGG